GCCCCGGCTGAGCCTGCTCGCCCTCTGCCGCGGCCATGCTGGCCCGGTCCTGGGGCTCCTCGCTCCTCACTGGGGTCCCCCACAGCAGTGTTGCAAAAAGCTGAAGTAAAGCACCCTCAAAGCCATTGCTCCTGGAAGTCAATGATGTGGCTGAGCCTCGAGCCATGCGTGGGGAGTCCGGGTGGTCAGGAAGGGCTCTGCTTTTGGCTGGGGTGGGACCTGGCAGGGCTCGGCAGGAGATGTCCCCCGGTGCCCTGGGGAGCTCCTGGCGCTGGAGGCTCGTCCCCAGGGAGCCACCTTTCCCTTGCAGAGAATGGTGCGCTGAGGAACGGGACGGAGGAGGTGCTGTCCCTCGAGCAGTGCCCCCCCACCAAGAGGCTGAAGACCAACCTCTGCAACAACAGCAAGGAGCAGCGAGTGGAAGAGGATCAGACCCGAGGTAACCAGCAGCAGGAGCTGGGGAGTGTCATGGCCTGGGCCGTGCATCCTGAAAAGCACCGGGAAACTTCTCTGGGAAAGGGCTCGGCTCTTCCTGGGGGCCATGAGCTTGGTTTCCAAAAGCAAAAGCTTTTGTGGTCTCGTGTTGCTCACTTGTGCCTTATAAGACACCAGCAAACCCAACTGCAAGACATGGCGCCACAAGCTGGACTCCATTAATTGCTCAGCTTGGAAATGATCTGTGTGTTGCTACTTTGAGCTCTAGCTCTAATGTCTCCAGTAGTGAAAGGGCATGGGTTTTGCACCAGAATTTCTAATATGCCCATGGCCTGCCTTCTCCGTGCAACGCTCAGCAAAGCTGTAGCAGTTTTAATGCAAGAAGGAAGGCATCTGTAAGTAGAGTGCATTTAAAGTTTGTTACATAAGGAATGATAAATCTCTTTTTTTTATTTTTAATTTTATAAAGAGCAAATGGTTTCCGAAGTTACGAACAACAGTGGGAGTCTCGAAGGTAATCGATCGCCCTGTCTCTCTTGGGAAAAGGTGTGGGGCTGATGCAGGTGCTTGCAGGCAGCACTAGGCAAAGATCGTGGGTCCCTTTTTAACAGCACCATGTAGAAAGGGGGAAAGCGCTGTGATTGCAGATTGCTGGGCCTCCCTTTGTGTTGAGGGGAGCGGACTGCTCTGCAGATCCTCCCCACGGGGCCTGTTCCCGGGGGAGCCACAGCTGCATCTGGACCTGCACTGGTTCAGGCGAGAGGCTCCAGCCTCTGCAGCCCGCGGTGGTGCGGAGGCATGGGGTCTGCACTCCTGCATGGGGCTCCCTACCCCGGGGTGAGCAGAGCTCTCTCTGTCACACAGACAGCTGTTTGTCCTGCGGGAGGAGAAACCCAGCCACCTTCCACCCGCTGTTCGAGGGGGGCCTCTGCCAGACGTGCAGGGTAAGTGCTGCCGTGCCGGGGCTGAGCAGGAGCCTGGGGCCAGAGGATGGGGTGCTGAGTCCAGCCCCGCTGCAGCCAGCGCTGTTGGGACAGGAGGGGTGACTGTGCCAGATCCTGGCCGTGCTGTATCCACCACGGGGCTGTCCCTTGGCATGTTCTCTCTGCTTGAAGCACAGAGGATGTGCATCTCCGAGCTCTCGGCGTGCACCAGGGACGGAGCAAAGCTGTGTTCTCTCTTCACCCTCTGAGCACGGATCCTGATCCTCTGTCCTTCTCTCCTCCCGGCTGTCCTTTTGCTAGGATAGATTCCTGGAGCTCTTCTACATGTACGATGAAGATGGCTACCAGTCCTACTGCACCGTCTGCTGTGAAGGCAAGGAGCTGCTGCTCTGCAGCAATGCCAGCTGCTGCAGGTGGGCCCCCTCTCTGCTCCTCTTGTTGGGCTCTTTTTGGCTCCGGGGGAGCGCCTGGGGAGCCGCAGGGAAGCAGGATCATGCGTGAGCCTGGGCAGGGCGCTGTGCTGGTGCCCAGCTGGCTGCCACACAGCCCAGCCCAGCCCAGCCTACCTGTCCCCGCTGAGCCACTATGCACCGGAATAAGCCCTGGGGAGGATGGTAGGAGCTTTACCCGCTGCCGGGTCACCAGCTTGTGTTTAGCGGCCTTAAAACCCAGGAGAATGCATGGAAAAACATTCTACAATGGGCTGGGGGCTCTGGTGCATGGCAGGGGAGACTCCAGGAAAGGTTGGAGTGACCCAAGGGGTTTCTGGAGGTGATGGGCATGAGGCGTTGTGGTTTGGGCAGGTGCTTCTGCGTGGAGTGTCTGGAGGTGCTGGTGGGGCGAGGGACGTCGGCCAGGGCAAAAGAGCAGGAGCCCTGGAACTGCTACATGTGCCAGCCCCAGAGGAGCTACGGGGTGCTGCAGCGCCGGCAGGACTGGAACACCCGCCTGCAGGACTTCTTCACCAGCGACAAGGGACAGGAATACGTAAGGGCTGCAGGCAGGCAAGCCCAGCGCGTTGGGCTTTGGGGGAGAGGGCCACAGAGGGCAGGGCGAACGGCTCAAAATTCCTCATCCCTCTGCCTCAGTCTTGCTCATCCACCCTCTCCAAGGGTGCTGGGTTCTTGGCCCCGCAGATGCTCCCCTGAAGGTAGAGGCGATGCCTGTAGAGCCAAGGTTTGGCCTCATAGAGCATCACAGCACTGCTGGGGCTTCATTGCTGTCCTTTCATTGCAGGCTGCACCCAAAATCTACCCAACGGTCCCACTAGCGAAGAGGAGACCTATTCGAGTGCTCTCTTTATTTGATGGCATAGCAACAGGTGAGGCACTGGAAGAGCACTGTCCTGGCGGCTCGCAGCACTGGATGTCAGGGATGAATAGTTTCATGGCCTCAAACCTGTCTCTGAAAGCTTGGTGGGGAGAAGGGGATGAGGGCAGGGGCTCCCCTTCCTGCTGGACAGGGCTGTGGAGGAGGGAGGGATGGAGGGAGGGTATGTGAATTTTGCTCACAGAGGTTCCTGCTGCGCCGAGTGCCGTCTCGGGTGGCTGGTTTCACTGAGAAGCAAGAGCTGTCGGAGTGCTGGTAACCTGGCCTCTGGTGAAGAAGTGCCTGAGGGCAACTGGTTTGACTCAGTTCACTCAGCTCTAGAGTTCTGCTTTCTGGGGACAAACCTGCCTGGAGGAATGGGTCGAAAAAATAGTTTGCTCATCCAGAAGTCCTGTGTGACTGCACCCACCTAGGACATGCAAGAGTGGCCACATCGAGCTTCTGTGCTGACGAAGGAGACTGGGAGACTAAAGAGAGCAGTGCAACCTCAGACCTCTGTCCCTTGGCAGGGTACCTGGTGCTGAAGGACTTGGGCATCCAAGTGGAGAAATACATCGCCTCAGAGATCTGCGAAGACCCCATTGCTGTGGGCACCATGCGGCACGAGGGCAACATCACCTACGTGCACGATGTCAGGAACATAACCAAGAGAAACGTGAGCACCGCTTCTGCGGGAGGGCTGGGGAACGTGGCACCACGGCCACGTGGGTCTCACCCCACCAGCCCTGGGACGGGCTTGCCACCTGCCCTGCTAGCGAGGAGAGACCCGCTTACGTGGCGGTTCCTAACTGGGTCTGTCTGTTTGCTCTAGATCGAGGAGTGGGGTCCCTTTGACCTGGTGATCGGTGGAAGCCCCTGTAACGACCTCTCCCTTGTCAATCCGGCCAGGAAGGGGCTGTATGGTAAGGCTGCTTTGCCTCTGCAGGGCTGGGTACCCCTGGGGTGTTCCTGGGGTGCGGAGCCATCTTAAAGTCCAGGGAAGTGGTTCAGCCCCAGTCTGCGTTGGTGGTGGCTCTCCTCTGAGCTGCAAACCATGGAGTGGCACCTGCAAAGCACAGGCTGTCTCCATGCCAGTCGCGGTGGGGAGGGCAGCCAGGCCCCCCGGACCCGTGCTCCCGTGCCGCAGCTGGTCCCAACGTGCCGCTCCATCTTTCTCCCTTGTAGAAGGAACCGGGAGGCTGTTCTTTGAGTTTTACCACCTGCTCAACTACGCCCGTCCCAAGGCGGGAGAGGAGCGCCCCTTCTTCTGGATGTTCGAGAACATGGTGGCCATGAGGGTCAATGACAAGAGGGACATTTCTCGGTTTCTGGAGGTAGGGATTACTGCCAGCTTCGGGAAAGACGTTGGAGCAGGAGACGCTTGCTGGGCTGTGCAAGGTGTGCTGAGGCTGCGAGGGTTTGGCTGAGGTTTCATATGGCCCCGACACTGGAAAACCCCCTGCCTGATGCACGCACCAGGAATCAACTTTTTAGTCTTGGCTCTGGATCCCCTCTGGCTTTCAGCAGGTTAACCCCAAGCACTAGTTCTCTGGGGGAAGGTGTTTGCCAGCCTTGCAATGCCTGTTATTTCTAGGGAGAGGGAGGTCAGGGATTGGAAGGGGATTTGAACTCTGGTAGCCAAGAGGGGCTGTGGGTCCGCAGGAACCCGTGTGTAACCCGTGTGTGTAAAAGCCCCATTGGAGGCTGACGGTCCTGATCCTGGCCCAGAGAAATCAGCACTGAAGCATGCTGTGATTTTCATTAGCTGCTGGCCATGGCTATCTTGTGGGAGCCCACGTGGCCGACCGGACTGTGCTCTGGTGTGGAACAAGGGTTTGTTGGGGCTACATCCTTAGGAGGGTTTGCTGAAGACTTTTAAGTCCCTGCAGCGCAGTGGAGAAGGGCTTCCAGTGCAAGAGAGGGCTGAGCCCACACCTCCTCTAACTTTTATTTTTCCTTCTCTCGTGGCCTGCAGTGTAACCCGGTTATGATTGATGCTATCAAGATATCAGCTGCCCACCGAGCACGCTATTTCTGGGGCAACCTTCCGGGGATGAACAGGTAATTGTTTGCTTGTTGTTTTGAATCTCTCCCTGTAGTTTTGTTTTGTTTCGTGGTGCTTGTGTGGTGATTCTTTCCCCCTTGGCCCTAAGCCCAGCTCCTGGGAGCCGAAGAGCTGCAGCTCCCATATGGTGCACTTTCCCTGCGGTGATGTGCACGTGATAATGTGCTTGTTAATGAGCAACGATGAGACCGTAGGAAAAGTGCGGCAGCGTCCTCTGCCCCCGGACCTGAAGCCTGTGGAGGGAAGAGTGATAGGGCTTGCGCAGGACGCTGCGTGGTGTGTCTAGCTTGGGGGTGCACATGTGCACCAGCCTTTCTGTAAGACCCAGGCCGATGTGGGGGTGCTGTACGGCAGCCCCGTGCCCCGCTCAGTGCCGTGCAGGGGTTTGCCGGAGATGAACCCGAGCAGCAGCCTTGGCCGGGGCCGCTCAGCCTGGTGCAGCAGTGCGGGGAAGCTCGCGCTACGGCAGGCGGCTGCTGCGGCAGAGCATGACTCACTCCTCCAAAGTTTGTTCACACCTCGTAGCACCCCAAATTCATGGCAAAACACAGCAGGAGTAGAGTAAAATCCAGTTACTAGCAGTCCTGCACACCAAATACTTCTAGCAACAAAAACTGGAGTTTTTGCACCGCCAAAGCCTCAGCCACTAAACATAGACGACTGGTTTTAAATATTTTTTGCTTGTTTATATTTAAATTGCCAGTATTTGTTGGAGTTGAAACTAATTAAAGCTGAGCTAGAGGCATGTAGGTATTTGAAAGTGAAGTAGCAATTAGGGAGCCTTTGTCAGTGTCATGCCATTTAAATGGCACTTGAACTTTCATCTGGTTGTGACAGAAGCACCCAGCGTGGAAGCACCCAGCGAGGTGACTCAGAGCTATCTCCATGAAATAGCCCGGGGCGATGCTTGCAGAGATGCCTTGCTGAGCAGAGGCAGGCAGGACGGCAGCGGCACAGGGCTCCTCCGAAAGCACTACCAGGAAAAGCTACCAAGGGCACTGAGGAAAGTGGGTTGGCAATGCCCAGCCCTGTTAGAAAGGGCTAACGAGTGAGGACGGCGATACTGTTCAGGCTGTACAGGGCTCTGACCGTGCTGGGGAGCAGAGTGCCCTTCCCGTAGGAGACTGCTGGAGCTTATTACCTCTCTGGGTAGCTCAGGAGGGGAGCTGCCCTGGGGAAAAGGGCTCCTGCGCCTGCCCTGGGAGGAGCTGCTCTGGTCTGGCACGTGCTGGAGCGAGCAGGAGCTGTGAATTTATGGCAAACGACCTCTAGCAGCTTGGTGGGTACTTGGAGAGTGATCTGCTGACCTCGGCCAAGTCGGAGAGGCTGCATAAGGACCTGACACGCAGAGCTGGGAGGAGGAATTGTCTATTGTCTTTAGATACTTAGTGTTTGCTTTTTACTCCCCGGTATTCAGTGCTAGTGCTGATTCCTGGCTGAGAGCGTATTGGTGGCTCTTCTGTTTTGCTTTTTCTTTTATTTTCCTAATGCAATTTTAAAATGGAGCCAGCATGCCGGGGTTTTAATCCCTGCCAGCATCTCCCTTTAACTGGGAAATCTGAGCTCTGCTGGGGTGTGTTCCCAGGGGCATCGGCTGCTGGGTGTGCTGGTGGTGGTGGGACCCTGCTGCAGCTCGCAGGACGGCAAGCGCTTCTGCTCCCTCTGACAACTGCCTGGAGCAGCGACGCTCCGGTATTTGACACTTCTGCTCCAGCCTTTGAGGCAGGCAATCTGCGGAGGTGGCTGGTGTTTCGGTAGGAAAGCTGTGGTGGCTGTAGGAGAGGCCATCGGTGGGATGAACACATCACTGTATACTTCAGGAAAGCACGGCACACTTGCTGTGTTTCACCTGACGGGCTACACGTCAGGGCACTTTGGTAAGACAAGAGTCCCGTACTGCGCCCTCGCTATGAGAGATTGTCTCTTAATTTCAGAAAGACTCAAAACCTGAGATGATGGTGATTGCCCAGGGCTGCTGCTGTCCTGTCAACTTACCAGGGTGTACATCAACATCTCTTGTCCATCTTTCGGCTCACCCAGGGGCACTAGTGTTTCAGTACAGCGTATATCAGTGCAACTTGGCAGCTTAGTGGACTCCAGAGCTGTAATAGAAAATTTTAGCATTGCTAGTGGTTAATTTTGGCTGCCCTCACTGTCTGTAAATGCATTGGTGCTGTGAACCGCCGGGGCAGCTCGCCGTTCTCTGCCCGCAGGCACGTCCGGGGCGGGAGGCACATGCACATACTTGCCCCATATAGATTTCTGCGGGCCAGCAGGTGCAGCACGGGGCTCCTTCATTCCTGGCTTGACTCTGCTGAACGGGTCACATCCTGGGTCCACAGCTGGCTCTGGGCACTTGGTCCCTGTCCACAAGCAGGTTAAATCGTATGGGGCAGATAAGCTTGCACAGATACGCACGGGATGATTTGTCAGGCTACCTGTATCCGCAGGAGCAGGGCGGTAGGAGATGTGGCCTCTCCTCTGCCGTTGGCTGCTGCTGCCCTGGGGCGAGTCTGCCGCTGGCTCTGGGCAGAGCAGGGACAACTGCCTTGCCTTTGCTGAATGCTCCCAGGGCTTTGCGTGGAAAGCGATACGTGTTTTCTGCTGCACGGGGCAAGAAAATCGGAGAGCTGGCGGGGAGCACTGGGCGCTAGCAGCGAGAAGCTTCTGCTGAGCGAGACTGTAAAACAGGCTGGGGCTTGAGGGAGCCGCAGGCTGGACGTGGGGATAAGGGCAGAGGGACGCTGTGTCCTGGCCGGCCTCTGCTCCGCAGTATCTTTGGCTCCCCCCTCCACTACACAGATGTCTCCAACATCGGCCGTGGGGCTCGCCAGAAGCTGCTGGGGCGATCGTGGAGCGTCCCCGTCATCCGGCACCTCTTTTCCCCGCTCAAGGATTACTTTGCCTGTGAATAGCAAGCCGAGCGTCCCTCGTCTCTCTGGTAAAGATGCACAGCTTCCCTGCCGTGGCGGGAGAGGGACGGGCACAGCCGCCGGACTCTGCTATGGCACCATCCCTCCCCGGCCCCATGCTGCGGGAAGGCAGCCTGGCCCCGCAGGGAGAGCTGAGGAAATGTCTTTAACCAAAGAACCTGGCAGGGTAACTTTTCTTTAAAGGGACTAACGGCAGTGATATGTAGAAAATGATGGACAAAAGAGCTTTAATTACCCAGCGCAGGAAGCTCTATGCATAACTGATGAGATGAGAAGTCTCCTCCAGAGCATTAAATATTCCGTTTTAGCCTAGAGCTGGAAAGTCACAACTTGCTCAGCAGTAAGCGTGGAGGCAGCTGCCGGCGTGCTGCAGACAAACTTGAACTATAGCGAATTATTGCTTTTCCTAAACAAACAAAACCTCTCTTGAAGCAACTGCCAAAAATCCCCAAACTGCAGCAGCAGGTGTAAGGGACCCTGGTCAGGTTACATACACTGAACATGCAAGATACAGAAACCAAATCTTTTTTATTTTTATTTTTAAGACTTTTTTGATAAACTTTAATTTTGTTGTTTAATGTCTATTGCTGCTTTAATGCATTACATAAGAATGTGGAGATTCCTAGACCTGAATGTAGCTGAAACTGAACTGTGAGGTGATAGAATTACTTTTCTAGCTAGAACTAAAGAAATATTGTTTTATATGTTTGGCTGTAGTTTACAAATATTCACTACTTCCTTTTTAAAGCATCTAAAACTTTTCCTTACATTTTAAAATCCTGCTGAGCGGTTTGAAAGCTTACACGGTAATCGGAGCACGGAGGATTTGGGCTCCAGTGTCCATAAAGGAAAATGTTCTCTGAGCATTCGTTTCCCAAATGAATGTGGTGCATCGGCAGGAAGGATAGTGTAGTGGTCAATGTCGTCTTCAAAATGCAGCCCCCTAAAATGTCATGTACAATGTCACGAACCGGAGCAGTATTGGCAGTGGGTTAGCTGTGGTGCAGGGGGTTCCTTGCAGGGAAAACCCCACCCGACCCCAGCAGGGCTGCGGGGCTGTAGGGTCCAGGAGCGCAGCACTGGCCTCACCCCGCACTGATCCTGCTCCATGGGCAGGGGGAGCTGACCCCGCGGCGGCAGCGAGGTGGGAAAGCTGCTGCGGCCGGCGGCTGTGCACGTCCCCCCGCTGCAGGCACTGCCACTGGGGCACTGGGCGCAAGGCAGGTCCTGGGGGTCCGCGGGCAGGGGCTGTACCTCTCCTTCCCTGCGCCCCCATCTCCCTGTGCATCACTTTGTGCACAGAGGTGGGATGCTGCTGGTGCTTATTATGTGCCCGGCCCCGGCCCGACAGCGCCCTGGGGGGCTCCCGGTGCCGTACCCCAGAGTTAATCTTAGTACGGAGTGATACCGGGAAGCACATTCATTCATTCATTCATCCATTCAGGAGGCATCAGCCAGGTACAGGGCTTTGTGCAGTTCCCAGAGTCTGGCCTAAAGGTATTTATGGCCTGGGGGTGGGGGGGGGGGGGGGGGGGGCACAGCAGAGCCCCTTCCTCTCCCCCAGGTTTTCCGTAGCTGCAGGGCTGCTGTCCCGGCAGGCGCCTCCCGGGGACTCTTAACTCCAATGCACATTTCAATGCACTGAAACAACTCGTGACGTTCCCCCCTCGGTCCCTCTCTCCTCCCCTACCTCTGCTCTTCACTACAAACTGTCGCTTGAGTCTGGCGGAGTCCTTGGGTGCCTTCTCAAAATCAGGCATGTGCAAAGTGTGGTTTTGTGTTGGGCCAACCCTTCACCCGATGCCAGGCTGTCTCACGAGGTGTTGTACAGCATCAGTGGGAAATGAGAGCTTCTCTCCCAGCTCCTTCTACCTCTCTGACACGCGGGGGACCCCTTGCACCCCCCTCACGGGCGGTGGAGGGCGGCAGCCTCCCTGGAGGAGGGAGCCTCCCATTTTCCACTCTTGTGTGCAGCTTTCCACCCCGTGCCCATCCCCAGGCTCCGAGGACCGTCTTCTCTCGGCCTCCACCCCAAGGCTGCACTCGGAAATGGGCAGGGAGGGAAGCCCAGGTAGTTTAAAGGCCTTTTTCCCTCGGTCCTGTCCGGAGGTTACTCTTTAAAGTCTTCCCACAGGGGTTCGTTCTCAGTGACGTGTGTTCGAACCGTGCGCCTTAGTTAAGAAAACGCTGGAAAAAGCCAGGCGGTCTCCTGCGCGTCATGGCTGGCACCTGTAACGCTCGGCAAGCGCTCGGGGACAAGTAGCACCCCCCTCGCCACCTTTGTCACCAGCCCCCCTGACTGGGAAGATGGCGGGGCGGGTTCTGTGGGTGCTGGAGGTGTTCGGGAAGCCTGGCATCGCCACCGCCGCGCCGGCTGGTTTTGGACCCCTCGCCAACCTCTGACCCGTAATGCCCAGCCTGGACCCGCGTCACCCACGCTCATTCCTCCGCCCAGCCCCAGCCGCGGTCCCCATACGGAGCCCGACGCGGGGCCTCGGGGGTGGCGGCCGTCCTCTGCCTTGGCATCCTCCCATGGCTTTTATTTTTCCAACCTGGGCTAAGGCGTAACCCCCACTCCACGGCATCTCCAATTTCATATTCCAGATCTCGTATCCTGTCCTATCTGATCAAAAGAAAAACGAGACGAGGAAAAAAAAAAGACTTGGGGAAAGTAAACAAAGATAAAAGAGGAATGAGAATTGTCTTGGCATTAAGCTTACTTGATAAGAATTGTAGTAGACAAGTCTTCCTTGAAATATTTTTCCCTGTAAGAGCTGCCTTGTATTATGTGTTTATAAAAATGTTGTAAGGAGAGGTAGATTTCAGAAATGCCTTTTTAATACTTTTTAAAGGTTTCTAACTCTCCCTGGTGCTATTTTTTTAGGTTAAGGATTTTTGATGTCAAAAGTCTTGCGGGTTTTTATACGATCTTTTGAAAATAAAAGAAGTGTATTGTTTTGTGAACACATTTCGTATGCTTTTTGTATCGGGAGTGCGAAACCTCAAAACTGTGCCTTGTCCACGCAGTTTTACCCATTTTCGTGTGGGAAAGAAAGGGGATCCATGTCAGCAGTTTACCGTTTATGGCCATCTAATTAAAAATCAGTATTTCTGTATGACCGGACAGTCCTTGTTTGATAAATCCATCGTGCGAAAAAGACGGGGGTTTCACAGAGGGACGAGTTTCGCGGGTGAGCCGGGCTGCCCCTTCCCCC